TCTTCTGAGATCCTTGCTTCTCTATGGAAGTGTTGATATTCAATGCTTAACAGTTTTGCAGATATTACAGATTGGAATTATGTATTTTTATGCTGCACATTGTATTTTGGTGTGTTTCTGATAGTATATATCTATGGACTAAATACATAGCTAAATATGCACTACAGAGGAATTGGGGTGTCTACATACCAAGAGAACTGCCATAGGATGACATGATACTCCTATACATTTTTCTACAGAGTAAAATGTTGGGAAGATGTATATTGAAAATTTTTTAATTTCATAGAAACTTATTAGTCATGAAAAGTATAAAAAAATAAGATTGCTTATAGCAGGAAAGACATTAAAACAATTTTCATCATGACAAATTAAAATACATTCATCCTTCAATTGTGCTATGAAAGAAGTTTAAGCCAATTATTTTGTACACTTTACAAATCTGAAATTATAAGCATTATAGGAAATAATTGTATCACTTCATTATAGAAGTGAAAAATGGCTGAGTATGTATTTGAATTATGTGAGGAAATGTAAAAATTATACAGATTCTTCAAACCGACTCTAGTTCTGTTGAATCAGTAAAGTTAGAGAGTGGACCAATATCACAATCACTTTTTCCTCACTAGGACAAAATACCCAACTCTTACAAGTTTTGGAGGAGAGGTTTCTGTTGATTCTCGTTTTCAGTACATGGTCAGGATGGGCTTGGTGGAAAGAGTTGGCCAAAAAGCAAAGAGAGGAGCCTGGGAAGGAAATATGTCTTTCATGGTCACAGCCCAGGCACTGCCTCTCTGATCAAGCTCCACTTCCCAACAGCACACTCAATTGCTGAACTCATTAGTGGACTAATCCACTGATAAGTACAGCATCCTCATACTCCAGTGGCCTTCCAAACACATGATGCTTTTGGGACCCTTTTAGATCCAAACCATGAAAGCCAGATATGCCAGTTGAGTCGTTGTGGAAGCAGAGGCTGAGATGAAATTAGGGGTGTTGAAAGTTTATTGGGAAAAGAGAGAACACCCATGAAAGGCTAATGGGTGAGGGAAGTAGGATAGGTCAGGACAAGCCTTGAGTTGGCAATGCTGATCTGAATGAAGCCTGTGAGAAGAGAGAAGGGAGGAAGGAAACAGGATTGAGAATGGTCTTTCATGTAAGGAAATGATGACATTCTGATACCCCTGTGAGACTGGTCATTGGCTGGGGGCTGTGTGGATGGAGCATGGCCCCAACTCTAAGCCTGAAATGGATCCTGCTGGTGTTAACAAGTGGAAACCAGCACATTTTCTACTGCTGGGAAATCTGACCTACATACCTATGTGGTTATAGACTGTCCTGTATGTTTCTCTAGCTAAAACTCATTTGCCAATCTTATTTTAGGCATACCTTCTATAAAGAAGCTATCTTTTTAAATAAGTTACAATTATTATTTACTGCTTTTAGAATTTTACGTTTACTAAGGGAGTTTAAAACTGTACACATTTGTTGTGGTTACTTACATATTTGTTCATAATTTTGCAGTCTTACATGCCTTATTTTTATGCTTTGTTCTTTCCTCTCATTTCATTTTCCTTTATATGTTTTCTTGTATTACATGTTTTGTCTCTCCTCCAACAGTTTCAAATTTATTCATCATAAATTTTATCTGTTAGTGGTTATGTTTTGTGTATGGATATCTAAAAGCAATTTTATTGGGAGGATAATTAATGTATTTAAAGTGTATACATTGTTTAGATATAGCTTTATATATGTGCAACTATTAATATAATAAACTTCTCCAACACCCTAAGAGGGCTCACACACACACACAAAAAAAAAAAAAAAAAAGTTAAGCAATGTTGCTTAAACTTGCTTTCCTCATAGGGAGATGAATAATTTAATGAAGATTACCTCTTTCATACTAAGCCATTTCTTACAACTCAGGATTCATGGCCCCGTTTGATCAAGAAATATACAACGAAGTGACGGGGGGAAGGTAGTGTGCTAAGGTGGTAAGAAGTTACGACTGGTATGGAACCAACCGTTTAAACATGATTAAAACTGAACCTAAATTATTTTATGCTCGGCATTTAGACAATGTATTTTCAGAGATAGTCAATGCCATTCAAAGTGATAAAAGTTAAATATGATGTTAATTACTTCACATAAAAATGGCCAAGAAGTTGCTGTCCTTTGAGGTTGTCCGCTGTCCCTAGGCACAGTGTCACAAGCAATTATCATTATAGAGCTGACGTCAGAAGGCAGCACGTCCAATGGTTGCAGAACACAGTTCTTTCACGTATAGATACATTTCTAATAGACTGCACTTGTCGTAAAACAACTTTCAATACATCTAAAAGGATTAAAATAATGCGTTATATTCTACGACTACATGGAATTTAATTAGAAATCAGAGGAGTCTGCCTTCCATATCTGCAGGCTTTACATCCACAAACTCAATCGACCACAGGGCCAGCCAGACAGCTCAGCTGACCAAAGCGCCTGCTTAGGGAGAGAGCAGCAGCCCGGGTTTGTTCCCCAGCTTGCAGTGCAGGCGCTGCCCCAAGTGCAGACTGGACGTGGCGGCGCGTGCCTGTAATTCCAGCACTTGGGAGGCTGAAAACAGGAGAATCACTATGAGTTCGATCTACATAGTGAGCCCCTGTAGACACTGTAGACCCTGTACTAAATACATAAAAAATAATAAATTTTATCAGCTACAGATCAAAAATATTTGGAAAGTTTTTAACTATATTGAACATGTGCAGATATTTTACTTGTCACTCCAAACACAGTATAACAATTATTTATACACATTAACATTATATTAGGTATTACAAATAATCCAGAGATACTTTAAAGTATTTTTATGACAGGATTTCCATAAATTCTATTGACTTAAACATCAGCAGATTAGGTACCCACGGGAGATTCCGGAACCAATTCCCCTTAGATGCCAAAGGGTGCTGTGCTGATGCAATATCTAGAAACATTCAATATATTTGTGAGTTAAAATTCATAGCTCTCAATAATTAAACAGTAAAATAAACATTACCAGAAAACATTTTAATGTAATGATAATTAAAATATACCAACATCAGTGAGGTGTTAGCTAACTCAGTGCTTGGAGCTAAAATTTTAACCTTAAAGATCTAAAAACTGAACATATAATATTCTCCATAAAAAGGTAAGAAAAGAACACAGTAAACTGAATGTAATGAGAATGGAAAAATAGTAA